TAGATAGATAGATAGATAGATAGATAGATAGATAGATAGATAGATAGATAGATAGATAGATAGATAGATAGATAGATAGATAGATAGATAGAACATTTAGCTATTTAGGAAACAGGACTGTAAGAAAATACAGTACAGTGTATTAAATAATCTTCTGTATTGTTTTTTTCATATATTTTTCTCCCATTTTTAAATTTATTTTTCTAACATTTACCATCAGGCAAATGTACGTAAAAAAAATAAGTACGAAAGTACAAAAAGAAAAAAGAAACAAACAAAAAATTTGACAGCACTTGGGTTTTAAAATTAAGCATTGCCAAACACTAAAATAACTGCATGAACAAAACAGAAAGCAGCATCTAGAATATTCCATCCAATCACTTCTTAATTTATTATTTGTTTATTTTGTCATTCAGAGAAGCACATTCACTTATTAAAATGATAGTTAATGTGCAGCAGTGTTATGTAAATGTACAGGCGGGTGCATTAACAGGTCTCTAAAATGAACCCCAGTGCCTACAAAATTGTAGTTATAAAGTCTGTTTGTGAAGCCAGTCAATTAATAAAACTCACATACAAATAAAATATGTGCCAAACTGCAAAACCCAAATAAAATTAACCGAACATGCACTCAATGCTGAGATGAAAAAAGTCTGCTCATGCAAATAAACAAGCAGACACATTTCATCTGGTCTGTTGCATTTCATTATTACTGCTTTGAAAATAATCCCTTTACAAACTGCTTTTTTGCTTTGTTTTTGACACTGGTGATGTCTGAAAGATAAAAGTGAGTGAAAGACTCACGCAGACACCATCCAATGAGCTGTCAAAGAAACACAAAACAAATAAAATGTCGCTTTTATTCTAAACAGCAGATGTTTCTGCTTTGCATCAACACATGCTCGTTGCCTCCGCGTTTATAAGACTGCATCATCACATGTTGGCTCAGAAAGATATGATGCTGCTGGAAATTGCCTTTTTATGCAACTATCAGTCCCTGAGGTCACGAATAAATTAGGCAAGAGCACTGGCTTGTGTGGGCTTTTATTGTGCACTGAAGTCACATTTTAACTCAAAAGTTTAAAAAAAAGAAACTAAAATTCAGCCTCCGTCTTTGGCTTTGCTGTGGATTTTAAACGTGTTGCATTCACTGGTCTGCTGATGTGCTACTTTTCATACACACCTGTCTTCCCTTCGCTGCAATAGGAGTTACATATCAGATCGTGAGCTATCGATTGTTTCTCTGCAACTATTTTGTCCCTAGCGAAGTTGCCCTTGGCTCGGTGTTCATAGGAAAAGAATAATCTAATCTCTCTGGGAATTTGCTCAACACTTTAAAACGATTATTCTGGTAGTAGAGGTGGAGTAGGGGAATAACGGAGGTTTGTAAAAAGTGTGTGCATGTGTGAGAAGGGGAGGACATGAGAGACAGAAATGTGTTGAATTTGTATTAATATCCCTGAGAAATGACTTAAAAATACATCCTCGAGAGCTGGCATAGAATCTGAATGTTGATTTTATGGTCATATGTTGCTCTCTTCCTTTGTTTGGATGTTTTTGTGAAATGTGTGTGCACTTTCAAATGTGTGTGTGATCGGTGCGCGTATGGTGTCAGCACTGGCATCTGTAAGTAGGTGGAAAAGGAGTGCAGCAGGAGGCTTGGCAGATGGAGGGAGGTGTAGCACACCGATTCCAATGAAGGCACCCGCAGGTCAGGTTTGAAAGCAGCAGTCGAGATTTTGATTTTGGAAGTATTAACAAGATGCAGGTCAGCTGCATGCAGCAGAGTATTATCACTTCGTTTTTTCCTATTTTTCTTAAAGCCTGCAGTTTTGGTGCTGTTTCAACTGAGTGTAAACATGCTTGATTTCTCAATTAAATACCAATGTGACCCTTTCAAAGTGCTGGCATTGTCTTATCCACACTCTGATTGGTCATAATTATTTAAAAGTCGACACTACTACCTGCAATGTGAAGTAAATGTCTTGTCTCTTGGGTTCTTAGTAACAGTTTATTTTATTTTCTAATATAAATGAGCTTTCAGTAGTCAGTTATTCTGACTTTTACTGTATCTTCTTATATTTGAGCAGTATATACCTGCAAAATTATGTGCGGTGAAATTAAAAAAGGGCAAGCCTGTGTGAGATTCTCGTTTCTTTTAAAGGTTGGCCGTGTGTCACTGCTGTGGGAGCTTAAAATTCAGTGTCAGGTGAGCGACATAGTGTAAAAATGGCAGAAACCCTTTAAAAATAATGATATTCAGCTGTAAAATTTTACTGGGCCACTCAATTTCTGGACTAAAATTAACAAGTGCTTTGGTTTCAGGCACTTAACAGCTAAATGATCCTGTAAAAACACGCACCACTTTTTATTCAAAAAATGTATTTTGAATGTTTTCTGCCTGAACCAGACGCAGATGTCTCACAGGTTCACTCGAAAAAAACCAAAACCTTTATCCCTGAAAAGTTTTGAATTGCTTTTAGTCCCTTGTGATCAAACACATATTTGAAGGACAGGTTTGAGTGCTGACTCGGTCAGTAACCGAACCTCTGTGGGGAATGAGTGGGATTATCTCAAAATGGTGCTCTGTCAGAAAAACTGCTCCCGTTTGGATCTGAGGGCAAAACAGAAGCTTGTTCTCATGAATATCACAGCATGGAGCGAGGCATGACTTTTTATTCAAGCCTATAAAAGCCTTTTTTATGTAGAAATAATAACCACAGCTAAAGGTCTCTAAAGGCCCTTGAAACACACACATACACGGAAAAAAAAAATAGACAAAATAGTGGTATTCCTATCTACAAAGGGCTGGCAAAACATATGATATCCAAATGATCCAAAATTATCCTAAAACAGAAAACAGGGAATTTATTTAGTTACATTAACATATCAGCCAGGTTGCTCTTCTAATCCATTTACATTCTATTTAAATTTATAGATTACATTAATGGCCTAGTTCCAATTTAAGTGAATGCATGCTGGTGTATAGCAGCCTCCATAGACTTTAAATTAAAAATGGATGTAGGCACTGTGAAATCACCAAAAATTAAGCTAACGAAGCAAACTTAAGCATCCTTTAATCCTTATTTGTTTAGACTGAGAATTGGACAAGTAATATATTTGGGATGTACATGCTAAATGAAAATCAGAGAACATTAATTATTTGTTGTATTTTTATCTTTAAGTTACATATAAAAATTAGAATTCAGCCTCTCACTGTTGTTGACATGGCCTGTTTTGTCATACAGAAAGACAGTGTTTGGCCCACATTTAGTTTACTGGGATCTGGCCAACCAAACTCTGACTGGGGGGATTTTTTTATCCAGCTGAATTAGGCTGTGCCACATTGATTGACAGGTGTCGTGAACAGGCAGCTGAAGCCCACAGCGATCTGCTGGGCCTTACTCTGGATCCTGTTGGAGCATACTGAAGCATTTTTAATGGATTACCTGATAATATTATGGCTTGTTGCCCAACAAATGTGTGCAATACGTAGCCTTCATTTGTGGCTATGTGCAGTGCACCTGTATAGTTTGTGAATGCAGCTTTCTAACCTAGCTTAGCTGGTCAGCTTGGTGAGCACTCACCCACATTAAGGTTTTTCAGTCAAGTGACATTTTGTACGTCACAATCATGGTGACAATGAAAGAATCAAGTGAATAAGGCCTTAGTCACACAGCCCTAGTGACCAGGCAGTCAGCGATCGCCATATTTCTAATGGCTAATGTTGGCAGATAATATTGCTAACTGTATTTTCCTGGAAGTGATGGACTAATCTACAAACTACTGGCAGCTACTGTAGGTGGAGTGTAAGTGTGAAAAGTATGACACAAACTGGAACCAGGAAAATTAAAAGTTGTGGCTTTTGCTAAGCTTATTAGCATCTTAGACATAATAGCTAGCTTGCTGTCTAACCACTAAACTGTTAAAGATTTTCCACCTGCAGAAATTTTTTGACTATTTTTAACTAATTATTTATTTCCAGTAGTGTATATATGTATGAAGCTTATTCTCTGTTGATTACTTAACCTTTATGTAATTGTTATGTAGCTATTTTTCATTTATTTAATGCTTTGGAGAACAGAGATGGTATAGAGTGCCTTTCCTGATGCTGCTTTCAACTGACAGATTACTTCGAATAAAGAAACCAAAGTAAAAAAAAACAACCCAAAAAACAAAACATAAATTCACATAGAATTGTATAATTTTGTCCACTTGATATTATGAGAAATAAAAGGAAGGGGGGAAAAAAATCATGACACTGAAAGTGATTTGTGGCAACATGAAACCTTTGAAAGTGAATTATATCTGGTGACGTGAAGCAAAAATGAGTGGAAGTAACTGCTGGTGATATGAAGAGGATGGGGCGCACAACAAACTTTCAGGTGAGCGACTAAAAAGACTACAGGTGAGAATACAATTGACTGTGCATTGCTAGAACCTGCTAATAAATGAATTAGAGGGTCAGCTACCCAACTTTAGGTAGTTAAATAAATGTGAAAATAACTTTCCCAGGACTCTGTATGATACTTTAGTGTTACACAGAGCAGCCTTATTTGAAGCTGAGAGTAGAGGTTATTTATGAGAACAGGCCTCTGCCATAATAACCTATAACCCAAAGGTTTGGGAGGTGTCGGCATGTTTTTAAAAAAATTATTAGAACGATGCATTCAGCTTAATCTATGAGCAATAGCCCCTCACCAGCAGTGAGAGCCATCTTGCAATCAACCACAGTTGTTGCACTGACCTTGCTCTTTGTCCATTTAAATCCACCAAACAACAGCTTGCATACAAAAAAGTAGGATTAAAACAGCACCAAAAATAACAAAGTCATAAGTTTAATTTTTAACAGAGCTAGGCCACACTCTTGGAATCTGGACCAAGACTTCCCTGATAATGTCCTCTTAAAATCTCATGTTTTAGATGTCAGAATTAATAATTTAAGCTCAGGTGTGAAGGTGCTGCATGTCTAAGCAACTTCTGCTTATCTTTTTAGATGACATGCAGGGAAAAATAGAAAAAAAAAACATCACATCCAGTCAAATATGAGTGATAGAGGTATACTCACTCCACCCAGGTTGACCTCTCCTTTGCCTCCACTGGAGAATTGGCTGGTCAGCTGGTACAGCATGGTGTGTCCACGCTTCCTGGCCTCACTGAAGTGAGAAGTACTCTTCCCCCTGTGCATCTTGTCCTCTGAAACTGTCACACAGATTCAGTTAAGTCGCAAGGCTGTAAACTTTGTTGTGAGATGGCGATATATGAGAAAAAAAAACAGTGCCATCCAACTCAATATCTGAAGTTTTTCTCTGGTGTAGTTACACAACTAAGACACAAAAACACAAGCTCCACTATCCTAAGACTCTTATCCAAATTCATGTTGCCAAAACAAGAGCGTATTTCCCCTGGCATTGGTATTTGTGGCAGACTGTGTTCAGGTTCCACTTGAAGACACATTGCGGCTTGAATCAAACTCCCAATTGGAAACAACTGTCTGAGTTCAATGAACAACTGCCAGCCCAAACAAAACTGCTGTGTAGGATGTGACAGTGATGAACAAGAACACACAGAGAAAATGAAAGCTAGGGGCCCGAGCATGACCCGCTCGTAAATCATGCTCTTAGTAAGCAAATAAAAGCAGTTTTTCCCCCCCCTAAAAACAAACCTTTCAACTTACATTCCTTCTTGCTGTTGAGGCGGCCCTTTTCGTAGGTGTCAGTGATGTCTTTGAATGAGAAGAGAAAGAGAACCATTTCGCCCTTCTCGTTTTTTATGGGCACAATGTCCAACAGACACCAGAAGGCCACACCTGCCACAGAAGCAGAAATGATCATTTAGTAATAGTTTTCCTTTCACCTCATTTGGAGAATGGAGACAAATGCTCATCCTGTGCCATGTAGAGCTTTAAAGAAAAGCTGGTGTAGCATAAAAAGGGATTTGAATAATATGATGGCATATTAATTAAAGAAAAAACCTGTTTGTACCTCCAAATAAACTTTATGAAACAATGTGCCCACTGGAGAAAAGAGATGGAAGAGGTACAACATTTAGTTGGAGAGTTTGTTTGGCTGTTTGTCTTTAATTCCTCTTTCCTGCTTCCTTCTTTGTTCTGCTCCACCCTCTCTCCTTCCTTTACTCTCCAGTATCCTCGGGTCCCTGCTTCCCTTTTATTTATTTCATTTGGGGGGATAGTTGTCCTGTTTATTGAAGTTTTGCTTGTTTAGTTTTCGTTCTCTTTATTGATTTAATGTCATACAGCCTATTGTGTAGCTGACCCAGACTCCTTCCACCTTTTGATGACTTTAATCCAGACCAGATATCAGTTTGAGTCCCATTGGTAAACTGAAAGGTGTTGGCATACTCTTTATATGTTGTATTCCCTGAGATTAGTTGAGTTGTTTTTGCTGGTTGTCTTTACTTTGTGGCATTTGTGTGGTTGGACTCTCTGTGGACTTTCTCTTTGTACTTGTTTTCAGTCTCAGTGAGGCTCACAACTGATTGTTTTCTGTGTATTTGGGGCCTTATTTAGTCACTGTGTCCTTGGTATTTATTTATTTATTTTGGAAAGTGTGCATTCTTCCTGTCTTTCTTTAAAATCTCTTTATGGCTCATCACACTGTGTTTTTTTCTACATTTGTGATCCCTTTGTATCCTTTTGGCTGTTTTGTGGTGATTCTCTGGTTGATTTGAATTTAATTACGCCAAACCTTTGTGGTCTAGAGGTCCTGATTGGCAATCAAATTCACGTGGGGTCTTGTGCACCCCATCGCCTCTGTTAATGTATCTCCCTAATGGCATCAGTTTCTCAAGCCAAGGTTGTGCAATTTCACATCATGTCACCATCGCTGAACTGTGGCTACTTGTCATATCCTTGGCATATGGCATAGCCTTTCTATAAATATGCCCCAAATTAGCTGTGGACAGTGATCTGCAGGATAGAACACAAAGTGAAAGAGAAAGTTAGAGGGTTGGATATAACAAGTAAGAGAGGGAAGGAACAGCACAGATCCAAGACCCCACCAGAAACCAGTATGCTCATTAGCAGACTCTGTAGAAATTGTGCTCTGCCACCAAACAGATGTTTCACATCTTCTTTAGTGTCTCTAGTGTGCTTGTTCGTGTGTCAACACAGACAGGGAGGAAAGAAGGGGGAAGAAAACATTGTAGATGGTGGTGTTTTAGTGCAAGCCTGTCAGTGTAAATACAACAGGCAGCAAGCCATTTGTGAGTGTTTGTGCTTGCAAATTGTACACACTAGAGGAGTTTACGTGTAGTGAATTCCTTCGGTGACAGACTTCTTTATATACTCTACCAGTCGTGAACATTTGCCAAGTGAGATTCTAGCTTTCAAACTGCATTTTCCTTTTTAACTTTCACAGTCTTTGTTCTAGCCTTCTGCTTTTTTGGTGTCTACTTTTTATTAACTGTGGTGAATTAAAAATCAGTTTTAGCAGCAGTGCCTTACTTTTACTTGCTTTACTCTAAAAAAATAAGAAATAAAAAGATTAAAAGCAGTCGTGTTTTTGTTAAAGTCCAGATTTGACAATCCAATTGTATAATAAGCAGTTCACACACCCTGAGGAAGCAGGTTTGAGCCTCTGTCGAATGAGTATAATCCTGCGTGCCAATCAGGGAGGCTTAAACAGTGTTTTATGTTCTCTCCTAATGCATGACATCATATTCTGAGTCAGAAGGATTAGCCAGAAGTTAGAAGGAAGGAGGTAATTCAAGACACTACGTACAGTACCTTATCCTGCATTAGCTGTGGAAATAGGGTACACAACTCCTCTCAGAACCTCTTACTCCGCCTTAATCTTATTGTTTTGTATTAATTATAATGAAAATTGAGGAACACCAACTCTCTAAAAAGCACGTAGGGCACTGCTTAACCGCTCTTTTAAATTCTGCATTCATAATTCAACCAGAACATTCAGCTCTCATCTAAAAATAAATGCACTCTTCAAAATGTTGAAAAAAATGTTTTTTTCATTTTGATCAGGCTGCTGGTTGATCAAAACAAAATAATGTAGTTAATAATATTGGAGCAGCTGGGATCTACTTTATTTCTACAGCTTCTGCAGTATGCACCCACCGTTCTTCTTGTAAAAGTGGACCTCAGCCTGGTACTCTTCTCGGCTCTCCAGAGCCTTCTCCATCTGTTGGGCCACTTGCTCGCTGGTGTCGGAACCGTACAGGAAGCGGCAGCTGCAGTTCTTCTGCATCACCTCAGTTCTTGTAAAGCCCGTCAATTCGCAGAAGCCATCTGAGCAGTACACAATGGGGTACCCACGGTGACCCTGGGCATTACCCAGCAGGAAATTACTGTCTGTGATGTGGAACATGAGAAGGTAAAGATGTGTTAGAAGTATAGAAGCAGAGGTAGATTTTTTTTTACATGCGTTTGTGAAACAGAGAGGTTTTTGATATGAATGTCAGTAACAAGCAAGGTAGAGCTTCATGCATCATGTTTAGCCTGGTGTTTAATACATTATCTCTTCTTCACACAGGGAATCAAAGTCCAGTTAGTTCTTTGAATTTACGTCAAAGCTTTTCAAAGAAAACATGAATCAGAGTTTAGTGTGGATTCATTTTCAGCTGAAATTAATTTCCCCAAACCTTCATCAGGTCATTTTGGATCTTTGATGGTGGTTATTAGGAATGTTGAATGATACTGAAAGAAATTGGCATCATGCACTGCAGACAGTATGACATAAAACAGTCGACTGGGGTTTATGAGCACCACAAAGGTTAGTGACCGATTTTCCCACTGGGCTTTAGGCTTACTGCTAATTTGAGGATATGAACCGAGAAGAGTCTTGACTCTTCAATTTAAAAATCGAGTGGATAATAGAGAGATGGAGGAAAATGGAAATGTGCCAGTGGAATATAAACATAAATATGAAGTATGACTGGAGAAAGAAAGCAAATGCTTTAAGAATGACCAGTATAAAGCCACACTCAATTTCACCTTTTCAATTTCATCTCATAAGGTGCCAGAGTGAGTGACTCAGTTTAATTTGACTGAACAGGTTCATTTACCTGTTTGTTCTATGTTTGACTGATGTGATGCCACATTTATGGAGCTGCAGATTAGAAAATACAGTGTACTTCAGTGAAAGCTGCAGAACATCTAAGCATGCAAATGTGACATTGACGTGGTGGAATATTTGCTTTAGTTTACATGTGGATGGTATGATGTGGTTATTGCCTCTGCACTTGTTTAATTCTGCAACAAAACAGCTTTGCTTTGGTTCCATTTCAGCACCACGGACAGCTCTTGTTTAGTTATTTCTGCAGGACATAAAGCCACAAAGCACGTTCGTCGGTCTGAGATCTTATCCCAGTAACTCAAGGCTGTGGTATTCAAAGGCTCTACATTTCTTCTGCATATCTACATATGTTAATCTTGATGACAGGATAGAGTTTGATGTCACATGTTCCCTCGCTTGCTACAAGCATGTGACCTTGCTGCAGTGAGGTTCCTTTGTATGGCAAACATTTTGGTTATGTGTATACCAGAATGACTTAGGTTTTTTTTAGTGTGTTGCATTACAGTGCTCTTCTCACATTTTCTAAATGCAATACATAGAAGCATACACATTGTTGCGATGATAAAAAAGTAACCATATTATATAATGTTTATTTAATCTGGATAATGCTGGGTATTTTCAGTCACTGAGCTGATATTACCACTTTGTTTTCCTGATTCATTTCCTCTCTAGGACACACAGTCAAACCCATATTTCAGTCTCTTTTCACAACTTTGCAACAAAGAAGAGAAAACAATCATCAGTCTCCAGTTTTTGTGTCCTTACAAATGCTCAGCGAGTGTCAAACAACCACCAGCTTACACTAGATTTGTGACTCCTCACCTACAGGCTTCCAGGCAGAATGTGGTGAGTGAAACATAGTCTGGTAGAAAATGACTTCTGCAGACAAAATAAACAGCCTGAAGCTAGAAACATTAACAGATACTGTAGCTGAACCTGTCAGCACAAAAAGTATGGCTTTACTACTTTAGATTGCATTATGTTGTTCATAAGCAGTAGATACAGCGTGGATCTCATAGAATAGATGCTTCAGATGTTAGAAAACACACTACTTTGACTTTAAGGGTATGTAAAAATATTTGTGGTTTGAAATCTGCTTTACTGAAAAGGTCATTCATCTTTATACTGAATTTGCTGTAATAATCCAGGAAGTATTTATGCATATTTGCTCATTATTTCTTTGAACAAGTTACTATTGAGGCCTCAGCAAAGTAACTGACTTGTCTCTGCTGTCAAATTGAAAACATCAGACTGCAGATTTTGTGCCCAGAGAGTAAGAGGCAGCACACAGACAGACAGACCGATAGACTGCTCTGTATGCTCACGATTCCACAGAGAGAAAGTCTAAGAAGGAGTATTAAACAGCTGCTGCTGCACTTTCCACAATCTAGCACTTTAATTGGCCGGGCTGAACAGAAAGCAGTCCACAGGGGATGTCTTTTCTGAGCGGTGACAACCTTTCTTGGGTGTGCAGCGAGCAGCAACTAAACTGTCACTGTGGAATTATAGAAGGAGACAGGCATTAGTCTGATCCATCAGCAGGCAGAGGAAGTTTTATGCCAGTCTATGCTATGGCTTGATGGTGTTCAGCAAGGAGAAATTGTACTATTTCTGTTCCATATTCTGCTGCAGATCTTTGTGAACAAAGATTCACACCCGTTAATTTTTTATGATGCTGTATATTCAGTTTTTTTTTCTGCAGGTAAAGTCACAACTCTGAATAGAAAGCGTCCTAAAAAACTCAGCGCCCCCCCCCCCCCCCCCCCCCCCTTCACCCGAGAAACAATGGCGGAACAAGATGTGATTGCCTATCCAGCTGGAAAAAAAGAAACATGGCCTGTTTTTCATGTTCTATAAATTCCTAACACTCTAACTCAGTGAGCCAGCAAGTGTCAGAGAGCAACCGCATTCATCTCTGGTTTATGTAATGTTTACCTAAGAATAGGTACATCTCTACTCAGCATCCCTAAATCGGTCCTCTAAATAGGTCAAGGGCAGGGGTAGTCATTAATCACTTTATAAGGAAACATTAGAACCAACGGGCCATGAAGGGAAAAACTTTTATGCTGTGTTTGGAGGTATGCAAAGTTTCAGGGATGGGCAAATGGAAAGGTTTTCTTAAAGTGCACTAAAACTTTTAAATGAGTTAGCATTTTATTTCAAGTTCCACTCTTTCAGTCATCATGTAGGTTTTTGTATTCATTCACTAATTGATGATTAAGTCAAGCAATTGTTGTTGCTGGTGGTGTGAGATAAGGGGTGTTGAACCTGTGGCTTTTGCCCATCTCTACTGACTCCCTGTGAACCTCAGTTAAGGTGGTATGCAGTGATATAGAACAAAAAAAAAATACAGTATCTAGTTATGGATTTCAAAATTTTTAAAAATTAAAAACACAGAAGAAAATGGAGAATTTAACAGCGTGTGGACAGATTTGTTTGCTTTCACCACCAACGCTGCTGGCTTCCTGGTATGTTTGATCTGCTGCTGGACTTTTGTCAAAATCAAATTGAAACTTTCCTATTTTTTGTTTACTTTTACTGTATAAAGCTAATAGGCTGCTAATTATTTTATTTTATTATCAAAGTAGGCTCTGAGAGGTGCAGAGCTTCAAAGCTGCTTTGCTAAGTAGTTGTATACTATACATGCTATTGGATAGTTTTTCCTCCACTTCATTATTGTCCAGTTTTGTTTGTAATTTAAAAAAAATAGTTATTTCACAAATGCAAAAAACAAACAAAACAAAATAAAAATATGGCGTTCTTGTCATTTAAAATGTCAAATAATCATAAATAACCCACTGCAGAGTAGTCATGTGGTAAAAGGTTTTAAATATTTACAGCTGTCAAAGATGTTTTAAATGATTTTTAAATGAGGTGCTGTCACCTTCATTAAGAAAATATATGCTTTATTTATCCTAAATTTGGGAAATTATTTTGTTACTGCAGGTGAAAAAGACTAACTTGCTGAATAACATGTGCAAGTCTCATAAACTTTTATTTCCCACAGAGATTATTTTATGCAAATTAATCCAAAGTCCTACTGGCTTTTGGTCAACGATAACCATTTTATTTCCTGAATAAAGACCTTTCACCTTATTTATTTCAGTTCTACAGTCGCATATTTATTTCTTCATTAATAAGTTAAGCTATACAGCAACCACATGAACCGCACTGTAAACAGTTTTGTCTGTGCATGCGTTTGTGTGCATATGTGTGTGTGGCTGTGACAATGTCTCAATTCTTAGTCTGTAATCCTCTGAGGGATATTGCTTCCAGTAGCCGCTCAGCTGCTCCGGCTTCCTTAATTACACATCTGTGCTGACTCGCTACAACTGTAATCTGACATGATGACACTACATGCTACTGCTAACATCAAGCAGCCGGCCTCGTGTCCATATAAGAGTTCTTCTGTGCATAAAAGACTGATGAAACCCAAGAGGCCTGGCCACTTCCTCAGAAGCTAATTACCACTCAGTAGCATGTAATTACTTATTGGGGCAGATGGGTGAGAGCACAAGAAGGAGTGGGCTTGCAGGGGGAAAGGGTCACTGGTTTGACAAAGAGGCACGTGGGAAAATCAGTCACTTTGATGTCAACGATTAATAAAGATGTTTGAATTAAACGCAAAGACAGAAAAAAAGTATCTGTGCAGTCGTGATCTAACTCCCGTTAAAGGTAAAAAGACTGCAGCTCCGTAGCGCCTTTATATCAAGAACAGTGCAAAGTGCTTTACAAAGCCTCACACCCACTCACACCTAAATTCACACACCGATGGAGGCGGAGCTGCAATGTAAGGTGCAGACCTGCACATTAGAAGCAGATTTATTTCGGTGTCTTGCTTGAAAACACCGACATGCATGGAGTAAGCCACCTGGGGACTCAACCACCAACCTGAACAATTACAGCAGAGCCTATTCCAAATGTACAGATCAAACTTTGCCACCTGTTACCACTGACTTTTAAAAAAACAAAACAAAAAGAGCAACAAAGGATACAACCACAAAAGAGTCTCAGCTATTATCTGGCTTCTATTTGGTGTTGGTTTCTGCAGCTGCCTACTAAGACCCGCTCATCAGCTGGGTAACAATGAGCTCCGTGAGCGTCAGCCTGACATTCTTTCCTGGCTCCTCTTTGGTTCTTTAGCTGCCTTTTATTAGAAAAGTGTTTAGGGGGAAAATAAACCCACTTCTTATCTTTGCCGGCAGCTGCCCCGTGGTTACGCTGCCCTGCAGGGTGAGCACTGCTGTCAGTGTAAAAATGCTGCTGGGGAGGTCGT